TAGCGGATGCAATGACATAACAGCAGATCTGAGTAAACTCTGCCATCTCAGAAACACTCAACAATGAGTCAGGAAAAAATATCTGGCACGTTACTCGTCTAATGTCTACTATTTGTCGGTATCTTTCCCTGTGATGTGAACTGTCTATTATTAGAAATGACAACATGCAGTTAGGGAATCCCCTTTTACCAGTTCAACCACCCTACTCTCCACTACCAGTAGAAATGGGAGTGCAAACATCAAACATAAACAAACAAACGTTATATATAGAACTACAAACACTTAAAGTTTGTTATCCTTCTCTTTCAGATACAGAAGAGCAAACACATGAACAGAGGAAACATGAGAGGAGATGAGTCTACCGGTTAACTAAAGACTAAAGAAACCTGCCTGGTCAAAACAATGGTTACCATGGTGACATAATGGATGTGTGTCAACGCAGCTTTGAAAAGGATAGGGCCGGTCGCCCTGGCTACCTGAAACATGGCTGACAAGACGACATGTGTGCAGAAAGCCAAAGAGAGGCGATATCAGCAGACAGAAATGGACACGGCAAAATGGAGGTAGAGCTTGCATTCATCTTTCAGATCCTGTGATTTTCAAGCAGCACTAATCACATCATTTTAGAGCTTCTGATTCTATTTCTCGTGGTACGACATGACAATTGTATTTCAGGATGAGTGTGATTCAAAATCTTATCAGAGAAATCATCAAAATATGCATAAAACTCTTAAAATAGCAGTAAAACATATTTGAATAACTTCGGCTTACATTTAGTTAAGATAATAATAGTTGCATTGCTTCACAGATAGGACAAATCGCTTTAGGGAACATACTTTTTCAGTGACAAACAATCTTAAATAAAGGTAATCCAGCTAATGGAAATTCTCCACAAACATATGTTGTGTTTTTATCACAGTCCCATCATCCCATGACAACAATTTGTCTCCAAATACAAATGTTGATACCTCAAATCAGGTTGATAGGTTCTCCCTTTTCCCCCTAAATTTAGATTTGGTATTAGGATCATTTCTATGTATGGGTAACATGAGTTCAGAGATGGTAATGACGATTCAAACTGGGGCAAATATCTTGTTTGGCATTGTGGATCAGTGCAGCCCCTAACATCAACATGAACTGGCTGAAATGTAAGATTAGATTAGAAGCATTTATTAGAATCTGAAGCTGATCACGAGACATTGACCACTAATCCATGACGTCACAAGTAGAGCATCTCAGGAAAGCTATACAAAGTCACATGAGTAAAAAACAACCTCTTTGTGTTAAAGGTAAGTGGATGTCCTGCTTTCGTCCAGTTAGCTGCACTATTGGCCTTTTTGACACTCAGCACCTCGTGAGTATCATTTTAATGTCTAAAGAGCCTCAATCTTGGCACTTGCTTGACAGTTCCACTTTGCACTGCGGCTGGAAACGGCTCACAGGGGAGAAAAAAATTGAAGACCATCAACCTTCAAATGCATAGCTGACGTAATCTGGCCAAACCCTGTGCATTAAATAACTCATGAGTCATATAGAAGAAAGACTGACATGGGAGAGAGTAAAGTCTGCATTTATACGTTACCTAGGAAATCAGTATGTTGGTTACTTTAGCAATAGTGCCGAGTCATAACTTTTGTATATGTCCTAATAATTGCATTAGAGAAATGTGGCAGTCAACAACAGCCAGGCAGGGTTAACGGCGCTTGGACAGAGGCACTTTGTTTATTTAACATGACCAGGTTCCTCTATGCAAAGTGGTTGTCACTGTGACATTTTACAGCCAGGGTAGGCCTTCTCTATGGATCACTTCTCCATGAGTTTCCTTACTTCTACACATCTGTTAGGCTTTATCTTATTCATGTATGTTTGCTAATATGAAAAGCTATTCTTCTATTTTTTTTAACACTATTAAATGTCTGATCATGTGGCTACCAGTAAACTGAAGGCCTTGACCAAACGTGGCCCGATTGTGACTGACGTCTGACAGAGGAGCCAGTGGTGAACGTCTCCCTGGTGCTGTGTGTATACATACTACAACAAAGATCACAATGGAAATGAGTCCTGTGACTTTCTTGTGTTATCCTTGATGGGCAATTAACAAAACTAAAATCGTAAAGGTTCTCAAAGGTTTGTATTAATGGTTTGTTGGCTGGCAGTGGGGATACATTGTTAGTAGCTGTGACATTTGGTAAAGCCCTAACAGCACACTCAGGAACAGGAGCAGCCAGATGATGAATAAAGATTGGCAGGTGAAATAGCTGATGATGAATGAAATACTATGCCGTCACCTTGTGTCGTAAGTTTTAGCTATGTTCTTATATTACATAATTGCACACTATGCTAACAATATCTTGTTTATATTATATTAATTGTACTGTCAGTCCTGCACAACTACTTCACATCTTTTATTTTATTATTCTCAGTATTTTTGACTTAATATACTGCATATAGTTTTTTGGTATATCTATATTTCATGTAAATATGTATCAGTATTTAAATGTTATACTCGTTGTTTTAAAAAAAATAATTGTTATAATTGTTTTTTTGATAGTTTTTCTTACAGTTTCTTGTCTTTAACTGTGTTTATGTATGTCCATAATACCTATGCCTACTTGGCAATAAACCTGTTTCTAATTCTGTTGCTCTTAGTGTCTGTTTTTGTAAAGCTTCTTGAATTGCCTTGTGTTGAAATGTTCTATATAAATACACTTTCCTTGCTATTGAAGTTTCTGTGAGTTCTTTGTTTCACAATGAGTTTAAATAAAGTTGTACTTTGAAGCTAATTCTAATGCTAAGGTGAACCAGGTACACTTTACTTGGAGTCACCTCAGTAAATAAGACCAAGCTTAACTAGCTCGGCTAACATGGCTTATTATTATTTCAAAAGTAACTGGCAGTTCAGTTTAAGACGTAAAAAACAGTCTCGGTAAGCCTCCTAAGGAAACTTGGCATGAATATCACATGAGTCAGTCATTATGGTGAGAAATGCTTCCTAGCATTTAGCTTGACTAAGTTTAGCTCCCAGCTTAGCAACTAAATGCTAACACATCTGGGTGCGGCAATGACTTGGCTTTCTCACCGCGACAGGTGAGCCGGTTGCTATGGGTGAATATAATAATGGTATCTATGTCAGTTTTGATATGAACCATGTCTTTACCTGAGCAGGATCTCCAGGGAGCTCTCATGTTTGTCCAGCGGCCTTCCCAGGGCGCTCTTGCGGAGCTTGTTCAACTCCTCCACGGAGCGCAGATACTCCGCCTGCTCCTCGCCAGCTGGATATGTGGCTGTGACAAACTTCGACAGAGGTTTCACCAGCTCCACCTCAGAGGACTTTTTTAACGGGACTGAAATAAAAGTCGCCATTTCGCCCCCGTGAAAGCACTGTATTAAATCAGAAAAACAGAGACGACCAACGAACACAAACAACAGCGAACGACCCACTTCCTGGTTTCTGACAGGGAACGTCAGATTACGTCATGGGAAACGGAGAGGTGCCCCGCGCAGAATCAGTATAGCTTTAATGAGAAATGGACTACAATGAAGGACAATTATCTCTTCACAGACACAATCTTTGTATTCCCACGGAATTGGCCCGATTCACCAATTAAGGGGTCCATGTGCAGAAAAAGATTGTAGGGCTCTATAAACTCCCTGTTCCTTTCAATGTTCATAATCAGAATCCGAATGCTTTCATTAGTCCCACAGAGGGGACATTTACATTGTTACAGCAAAGTAAAGAGGCAAAATAAGAGGCATGCATAAAATATAGATATATATATATAGCGATAGAAATTACACAAATTACAATTTACAAAAGTACCCATCCAGGTGGACAACAATAACAAGTAACCTACAGTAACAGCAACCTGTCACTGAAGGAGCTGCACAGTGTTTGTGTAATTTGTACAGCATACCATGCCAGAATATGACATGACCCCTGGTTTGCAGCGAAGATATCTGATTGAACACACATCATTTAGCAATATATCGGCACCACCACACAGTATAGGCAGATGTAACGTGAACCTTGGGTCTCGGGCAGTAGCCTACTTTGCCAAGTTAGGGACCAAACAGTATGCACCATATAAGCACAGCATTTGTTCAATGAATATTAAACCAGATGTACAATTAAAAAGGCTATTAACTGGATGAGCTGTGAAACAGCATACTGTATACACTCAATGGTAAGCCCTTTGAGAAATTCAGGTAACACTAACTGCTGTACAGATAATTTTCAATTTTTCTGTCATGTCTATTAATTGATTTCTTTCACAACTGTTTACAATTCTCACCCCAGATGTGATTTACCCTCTGGGGCAAATGCTGAAGTGAAAATGTGCATGATTCAGGGTCTTTAACATCTGTTTTGGGAGACATTTGGCAGGTTATTATGGTGCTCTCAATCTGTTCGACACACTATGCGAATCATTTTGCTGCCAAATAATTGTCCTGCAATAAAAGAAAACTGTCAGCAATACCAAAACAGCCATTGTTAAGACCAAATATGAGTTTCCTAAATAGCAAACAAATGCCTTTATGGCTCATTAAGAACAAAGATATAGGTCTTTTAGAATCACAAAGGCCATAAAGTGTACTTGGATTATATTTTAAGATGTTCTTGTCAAATGAGCACTCACATCTCCCAGGGTGCTACTTCGCCTGTGAACACAGTAGTATAATGTCCCTCGTGGCTTTTAAGGACCTCTCCAAATCTGAGAAATTATGAACAGGGTTTTTTTGCACTTGTAGTGGGGATGTAGCCAAGTCCATTTACTCATGTACTGTACTTTAGTACAACAGTAAGGTAATTGTACTTTACTACTTTTACATAATGCTACTTGATGCTTTTACTCCACTACATTTTGTAGGCACAATTCATCTTTACTTCACTCCATTTATTTTACAGATTTAATTACTAACCCTACCATCTTGAATCAAAAACAACTATGCTAAAGTTTAAAATATTCAAACCGAGGAATAGAATACACTAGGACACCAGAGAAAGTTATGAAATCATTTATTCCCAGCACATGTGGTTGTGTACATCTCCAGCATACGATACTGTGCACATGAGAAGCATCATCATTGACATTAGGCTGTACATGAACAGTGGTCACCTCTCCTGCTCACTCTCACACTCAGTCACACAGACAGAAAGGGGACCAAAACTGCTCACCAGAGGTTTTCCTAACTTGGCATCACATCTGCTCTGTTTCTGAACACAGTTTACTGTGCTGTGGTACTTGTGTCCTTGTAAACACCACAAGAGCTACAGTCCTGGCTCTGGCGCACGGTTAGACTAAAACACAGATGCTTGACATTCTTTTTTTTGTTCTCCTTCTTATAGGCAGGTAAGAAACGGGTGTGGCTGTTGGACTACTGACTACACATCGAGCTTGAGTTTATTAATTTCTCAGTGCAGACTTGGTCTCTAATATGGAAAAACAAGGTGTTCCACTCAACAAGGACCGAATTAACCCTCCCACCCTCCTTTCCCCGTCTTCAACATGCTCTTTTACTAAACAGCAAGCTAAACACAGTTTCATCATACCAACAGGAAAAAGTTTATGACAACTACCGACAATTCAGTTATCTTTGCAAGAACTTAAAAAAATGATACCATGCACACACGCACATTCTGACACTAAGAGGCGTGCAAACGGTATGAACTTCCAACACGGCCGGCGACTGTGTACCAAAATTAAAATGGGTAAACTAAACCAACGGCGACTAGGAGGACCTGTGTGAAATGTAATGTCACTAAGGGCACGCGTGACTTGTACTTTCTGTGTGCAGCTACATCTGAAAACACTTTCTTAGGATTTGTAAAGGACGTGTAACTGCCATGATTTTCTAGTCTACAAGATAAGACTAATAAACCAGGCTGCGGCTGTGATACATTTCTGCCAGCCTGCTGTGGTGGGTTGTTTCTCGCTAAGCAGACCCTCGAATGGAGGGTTTATTACTATGAATACAAAAGTGCCTCTGATGACCAGGATGTACAGACCCAATGAGGCTTTTCAAAATAACTACACATCTGAAACCTGTTTGGTCCACATTATAGAAGTTGTTGGATTGGTGTTAATGCTCCACATGTCAATCTTCTAGTTCAGCATATTATGGCCAAAATCCCAAAAGGCGTTACCCGCACTCCTCCTAACCAGTGTTTTTAAAGTCAGCACAGAAAGCAGAGACGACGAGGTGCCATATTAAAAAAGTCAATATGGCACCGGATCCATAAATAAAGCATCAACTAAAAACAGTAAAAGCGCAGGCCGAGCTGGACGTACATGAAGAGAGTCGAGTCGAGTGTGACGTCAACACAGAGATATGGCTGGAGGTCTAACATCACAAAAGGATTACTCTATGTGACAAGAGTTTATCCATATGACAAAGTCCAAGAAACATGACAAAAAAATAAGTTTGGTGTCAACGTCCACAGGTGACGCCAATATTTCAGGGGTTTCCAAGCTCAGCTGATCAATAAATTGTTTATTAAGACAACCCCGAACCCCGTGGAGAATGTTAAACAAGCAGATTTTGGGATTCTCATTTAAGCAGGTTAGTACATTGAGATCGCATGCTGTTCAGCAGTACAGGTTATCAAATACTGGCCTAGTGCTGGTTGTGCGCGTTGTGCAAGAGGGGCAACGAGCAATAAGGAAACTCTGCTTTCTTTCCTTCTCCTGCCAGCCAGAACGTCTCTCTCCTCTCTCTGCTGAAGCCCCCCCTCCCTTTAGCCCACAGAAACCATATAAAAAGACTAAAATAAAATAATAAAATCAAACTACATACATCATTATCACCCCCCTCACCCTGTATCCCCCCAGTCTCTCGTCTTAACTAATCTCCTCAGTTAATAGTGTTTTCAATATGAAACAGTGGACACACCCATGTCAGATTCTAACATTTACATGGCTTTAAGCGCAGTCTGACTGCTTCCCAACGAGCGATTGTTTGGAGAGACCGGGAGGAAGTACGAGGAAAGAGTAGAGGCAGGCAGAGAGGGACAGAGGGAGGCTTCTGCTCCAAAACAGAGGGTGGAGTATTAGTGATGCCATCTGTCCTCTCCACTACTTCAGGATTAGATGGAGTCCTTCGCCCAATTCATCTGGAGAGGAAAGAATAAGTGCATTAAATCCTTTTCAAATAAGCAGTCTATTAGGGCTTTTTACATACGGGCCCAATTATAATGAAGAGACAAGGCGAATTATGCATTATGAGCTCACCTTTGACAGTGCTGATCAAAAAACAGCTTTCGTCAGGCAAGTTGTAAACCATCTGGAAAAGACAAAAAAAAGAATTAGTCAAATTAGGCTGATCATCAAATGTCTCCACCACGGTATAAATGAATACATAGTGTTTACTTGTGTGAGTGGTGACTGACAGAGTTAGGAGAGGCTGTCATAAAAGCAGGAGCGATAAAGTAGACTGACAGTGTGTGTGTGTGTGTGTGTGTGTGTGTGTGTGTGTGTGTGTGTGTGTGTATGTAAATGACATGCAAATATCTTGTCTCTGTACAGAACCTCCTATCGTAGTCCTGCCATTTGCTCTTGCTAATCTTTTACGTTGCCCCTTCTCATTTGTATTTATGTTTTTAGTAGATTTAAAAAAATCTATTTGCCTTCATTGGATTTCAGCATGTTGAGGGCCAACCCTGGTTTGTATTGCAAGTTTAAGAAAACATTCACAGGAAGTGTAGTGCAGTTAAATTATATCATATCATTATATTTGCATCATTTGCAGTTTGGCATAGACAGCAGCTGCACAAAATGCATCTCAAAAGCTGAGCTAGCAGGGTGTCGATAAGTATCCATCCATGTTTTGAGTGTATCCCAGAGTTTAGATTTTTTATTAAAACATCCCCCTTGATAAAGAGCTCTGTACAGCTGAGAGTGGTACTCTACGTTTTTTAAAGTGCTAATGGAGAGGAACAGTTTTAGTGTGTGTGTGTGTGTGTGTGTGTGTGTGTGTGTGTGTGTGTGTGTGTGTGTGTGTGTGTGTGTGTGTGTGTGTGTGTGTGTGTGTGTGTGTGTACGTACGTACCTGGTCACTGAGCAGGATGTGTATGCCTGTAGGACCCTGTCTGTACACCTGGTTGATGGTTCCCAGTGGAAGGCTGCACACACACGCCATCTTGCGGATCAGTTCTGCAGCTGTGAGCTCCTCTAGATACAGAGCATGATAAACTGTACAGAAACAGAGCAGATAAAGACAACATGTTAATAATATTCACACACTGCAACACTCCATAGACTAATACTTTCAGCTGCAATGACTAGTTTGATAAACAATAGTTAAAGTAAAAGGTTTTTAAAAAACTGCTGTTTTCATTCTCGAATGTGGACATTTCCTGCTTTTCTGTGTTTGGACTGACAATACATCATTTTAGGCTTGGATGAACATTTTGTACTATTTTCTGAGATTTTTTTTAGACAATTCCTCAAGGAAACCACAAGCCGATTGTAAATATTGAAAAGGATCTATGCCCTACTTAAAGGAGTGTGACACTGTAGTCAAACACAGGGCTTGTTTACCGTGTAAACTAGAGGAAATGCTGTGATCTCCATTTTCATCGGTTGCATGTCTCTCCAGCAGGGGGCTCTCCTGGGGGGACTCCTGACAGACGTACACTGTCAACCTGGGACGTACTGACCTACACACACACACACACATCATAATTTATGCATTGAAACACAGTGACAACTTCATAATGGTCATAGAAGTGTACACAAGAACAACAACCGACACACACACTTAATTACACACCTGGATTTAAGTGCATTGAAGAGTCTGATCCCATCTGCTGGCCCACAAATCTGGACCAGGTCGTCCCGGGTTAGCTTCAACAAATCAGAACCTGAGCAACAAGTAAGAGGAGCGGTCACTTCCCTGCAGCTGATACAACATCACACACATGCTTTGGTGTTTTTTGACAGTGTGTGTACCTGAGAAGTGTGAGAAGAGCCGTGTGTAGGAGTTGAAGCGATTTTTCAGCAGCCACTTCTGTGCGTCCTGTATGGAGGCGGTGGGGCTCAACTGCTGCAGGACAACACACACACACACACAGTGTCAACACACTTTAACACCAGGACCTGAAGTTATATTATTTACCACACTAATTCAGACCCACTAAGAAATAATACGGTACTGTACAGTTTATAATGTTTAACTTAGAGTTTAGAGATACTACATTCTACAGTGAATGTATTTTTATTTACCTTTTCCACCAATTCAAACAGTTGAGTAGGGTGGAGAATAACCTCCGAGTTGCCATGGCTACCAGGGTCTGCCTGGTGATTGGGTGAGGACGATTCACTAGAACACAAGAAACTACAATTAATGGCACCAACCCACTACACGGCTTCCAAAGTCTTCAGATTGCTGTATTGATCACACTAGCTTACTGACTTTAGTTTGTCGGATATTTTCACGACATGGGCATTTGGTGTAGAGAGAGAGAGAGAGAGAGAGAGAGAGAGAGAGAGAGAGAGAGAGAGAGAGAGAGAGAGAGAGAGAGAGAGAGAGAGAGAGAGAGAGAGAGAGAGAGAGAGAGGTTGTTTGTTAAAGCGCCAGAGAATGAGCCCCATTAACTGAGTTTTAAACATCACTTTAAATGGAAGATCCCCATAACAATTACTGATTATAAAATATTTTAATGTCTAAGCGAAAGCAGCCTTGTTGCGCTTGAGACTATTGCAAATTCAATTTGCCCTCTTTTCCTCACATCTTGACCAGCTTTAGTGTTATTATTCTTGAAGAAAGTGACAGTAAAATGCAAAAAATGTTTGTTGTTTCAATGTGTTTTGAAAATAGAAGAGCTGTGGAGTTGATGCCTTATCACTGCTTGCATCTGTTTTAGTATCCTTTAAATTGTAGAGCAGCAGGTGTTCATTGCACCATCTGATATATCTGGTGTTCATATATGCTGGGTACTTCCAAAGTCTTCAGATTGCTGTACTGATCACACTAGCTTACTGACCTTAGTTTGTCGGATATTTTCACAACATGGGCATTTGGTAAGTGTGGGGGGAGAGAGAGAGAGGGGGGGGAGAGAGAGAGAGAGAGAGAGAGAGAGAGAGAGAGAGAGAGAGAGAGAGAAACAGATCATCAGAAGAAATAAAATAACACATGATGGGTAGGGTCAGCCAGCTTAACGAGTTAATTGATGTTGGTTTGGTGTGTCAGGGACTTTATAACGAGGTATCTTGGAGTCTTGTGGTTTGACAAGAAAAATAGTGGGATTCAAAAGAACGCATCATTGGAGATTTCTTACTTTATCAGATCCTTTAAAAAAGAGATCATAACAAGTGAGCGCCAATTTGCCAATCTGGAGCTTTTGACAGCAAATGAAATATCTGGGCTCAACTGTGTGGTGTGAACTCATTAAAAGGCTACGCACAAACATACACTTACCTGTCTGGTACTGAGGACATTGTGTAGGTGGACAGTGGGGTGGAGGTGAAGGAGGGAGTAGCTGCCTGGTTGGGGCTGACGTAGGCATTATCTGGCCACGGGGAGCACTGAGAGGAGACAGATGTATTTAAATACACAATTAATCTCACTTACTGGGTTCATTAACACTGCAAGCCAACTCTAAATATCCCAAAAGAAAAGGCATAAAGGTTGAGGAAAAGTCAAGGGTGGATAGGGAATTTAGCTTTGCACCATCTCCACCCCGCCTACTAATGTCAAATACATGGCATTAAAACATCTCCTTCCCTGCAGCTGGTCTACACGCTCCAGACTACAGCCATGTGTCTACAGGGGGGCCGACTGATGGAGTGATGGGGAGGAGGAGAGGGGAGCAGGGTGCTTACACTGCCTCTCTTGGCCAAGGAGTCGCCACAGTCAGCGGGAAGTGTCCGCTTGCTGGACTTTTTCAGCTCGTGGTCACCCGCATCCTCTATGATGGGCTCAAGCCTCGTCTACGTACAGACACACAGCAGAGGTTAGCCAGCCGGCGACCAACACACAAACACAACCAATAACCTGAGGGAAGTCTTAGTGTGACAAACAAGTGTAGAAAAAGTTAAATGACTGCTTTCTACCACCCAATAAAAGCTGTGATAACACATCTGAGACACAGAAAACCTTATGTTTAAAGTAAAAATCTAGTGTTTTGATGTGGGGCTGAATGAGGCAATTATACATGGACAGGAGTATGGGCACTAAACCACTTTCAAATAATCAGTTCTAGGTAGTGTTCATTTCGTCAGCTATTTTTTAAATGTAGTTTTAGTCTTAGTCCTGTGTTAAATTTCCTTTTTAGTTTTAGTCATATTTAGTCACCTTCATCCTGTTTTTATTTAGTCAAGTTTTAGTCGACTAAAAGTCTGAGCATTTTAGTCTTATTTTAGTCAAAGAAAACTAATTATTTTAGTCTACTTTTTGTCAATGAAAACTGTTGAGTCTTTTTTAGTCATCAGATTATATAAAACATTTCAGTCAAACTAGTCTAGACAAAACCAATAATGTGTCATTTTAGTATATAAATAAGATTATATCTTGTCCTTATTTGATGAAAAACACAGGTTGAATGATTAAGAAAGCAGCTTTGCAGAGAGTATCTGCTCAGGTTTGTGGTGTTTTTACCAGCTGTGTTATGGCCACATTGCTTCCCTTCTGATGAAACAATGCATTCGCTTTTTTTCTCCGCCTCATTGTAGCGAAAATGGGCCCAAATATCACGTTGTTTCTTTCTCCCAAGCAGTGGTGGCTTTAGACTTTTTCGTTGTCAGTCATTTCGACGGACAGGATTGTAACATTTCCGTCATAATCCATTATTATCCGTCGAGTGCACAATTTATCACTCACTCGCGCTGACGGGGGGGTATTCGGTTAACGCGAGTGCGACCACTGCTCCCAAGCCCTGTTGTTGCCATTTCATTTTCTGTTAAATAAGGTTAGTTAGACCATGAGTTAGACCCGAGTCTTCCTGACAGTTCACATTGTGCCGCTGCCCGGTGTAATTCAAATGTACCGCCGCGCGCAGCACAGACACACAGCTGCTGCCCAGCCGCAGCACGGACACACAGCTGCTGCCCAGCCGCAGCACCGGAAATGGAACTGCTGGGAGAAAAACGGACTATCAGAAATGTAACGTTATCTTTGATAATATTTCGTCTCCTCATTTTTCGTCAACGAAAGTAAAGAGAGATTTTGGCATCGTTTTTATTTAGTAAACTACATTTTCGTCTCGTCACTTGTCGTCAACGATATTGCATGATGATTTTGTTGCAGTTATTGTTTACTGCCGTCGGTGCCGTCTCGTCATCGTCTCGTTTTCGTCATGGAAAAAAAGGTCGTTGACGAACATATTTCGTCATAGTTTTAGTCAACGAAATGAACACTAGTTCTAGGGTATACTTGCTGTCAGACGGAGACATGTCTTTCCTTTGCTCTTTCTTAAGCCACCAGACTTCATTGAGAAAAACTGTGATTTTACTTTACAGAACACAGAGGTTGCTGGTTGACCGCTGTCCTTCGCTTACTTCTGATTCACCAAAGTCACACAAACTAAGAAACCGGTTGAGGCGGCGGTGTGTTCTGCAAATAAAAAAAATCACCCTTTTTCTCAATGGAGTCTGGTGGCTTTGAAAAGAGGAAACATAACAGCTTTCTCGTCTGAAAATGATGTTTTGTGGCAAGGCAGTTAAAATATTCTGAATAGAACATACACTTAAAATGTAATACTTTTAAGGTGGCTAAAGTATGTTTAACTGCTGTCCCCGTTCAGTACATTTCTCAGCTTCCATTTCCATACTCCCGTCTGCTTCTTTAAACTGGGCTATGACCTTCATCTATAAGTACCTCATACAACCCAATCAAACGGAACCTTGTTTTGTATATTTTAAGCCATTTCTACAAACTATGCAGAGTTTTTATTTATTCTGAGTGTGTCACACCTCATCTGACAAAAGACCAACTTTTAACATGATATGAAGGTGTGTGTGTTTAAACGGTCTTCTACAAACTAAATTAGATCATGAGACGAGATGCGTCAGGATCCAGGTGGCTGAACACCTCAGCTAAACAGTACTTGGGGAAACCCTGTTGTGCATTTTAACATAACTGCCAAAACCACTTTCTAAAGCATACCAGATGCAGTGATGTCATCCAAGCGACCATTAACAGATTTATCCTCAAGTATTCAAATACGTGAGGAGACTTGGAACCTCCTGAGAGAGGTAATCCATCACACCTGTCACTTTGACTGTTTTGTCAAGATGCATCATCATCATCACATTGTGGTGCATTGCCGGTCAAGAGCAGGTTGCTGTGGTGGTTTATTAATGTTTATCACAAGCACAATTTTAATTCAGGAGATACAAGGGGTACATTTAGGCTGGGTCTTATGGATTTAGTATTCGTTTTTTGCATAAAATAACTGTGTTTGGTTGTTCATAAATCTCAAGCATCCAGAACATGATTGAGAAAATGGTTGGCAGTGATGTAGAGCACCCTTTACCTCGAATTTAGCCACACAGTAGGCCACTCTGCAGAAACACATTTCTACATGGATAACCCCCCCCAAATAAAAGCTGAAACTGGGCACTTGCTAGTACTTAATTTGCACTAAAGCCAGATATTTGTTTTAGGCCTGACTGTCCATAGCACTGACCTCTGACAGGATAGTGGTATCATAAGAAGACTGGTACTTCTCCTTCTCATGGGGTGAGCGTTTCTCCATCTTCTCTCTGTCCGTCTTTTGCTTACGGTCCGCCCCCTTTGGCTAAAGAGGAAGCAGAAAAGATCAGAAAAAGGGAGCGATATTTGATTTTCTGTAAGTTCCCAGGTGATGTATAAATGTCCCCCCCCCCATAAGATAATGAGTGTGTACCTTAAAGACTTTGATTTGGCAGGAGGCAGAGTGGAGGTGCTCTATGTACTCTCCCCCCTCTCCCTGGGCGAACGTGTCAAACTGGATCCTGAAGGGGACGCCTTTCTCTCCCCCGTGCTTCCTGGGAGTGAACTCTGTGCTGATGCAGTGCACCTGCAGCACAAACATGTGATTGATGTGGAAATGTAGAGGCAACAGATGGCACAAAAGACAGCTGAAAGTGTGAGTGTTTGTGTGGTTTGTATGAGACACGACGCGAGGGTGTTACCTGCACAAAAACAGAAGCTCTCTTGTTCAAGTCCCACAGGAACTCTGCTGCGTTGAGCTGGGAGGGGTGAGTCTTCGGCTCCACAATGCCCACTGACATGGGGATATCTGTCTCACACACACAGACACACAGATATTTGACCTCTGAATCACACACACACAGATTGGACGGTTTGAGTAAACATTTCACGCCAGGCTTCATTACCGATGTCAAGGAGACGGTCGCCTGGACGATTCCACTTCCAGCCCTCCAGCTGCTGGTGCTCGGTGTACTGCAGCCGGCGGTCATGAAACACCACCCGCACTATGCTCTGCACGCACACACACACAGCAAGTTAGATATGAAGAGAATCTAACATGAGAATTACATATTTGTCCCCCTCCAGCTGCAATGACCCTCTCACCTTCACCATCTTGTTGTTGATCTCAGGTAACTCGTCCTGCTTCCTGTTGTCCAACATACGCACCTCGTAAGACTGGCCTGAGAGAGAGAGAGAGAGAGAGAGAGAGAGAGAGAGAGAGAGAGAGAGAGAGAGGAACAGATCATCAGAAGAAATAAAATAACACATGATGGGTAGGGTCAGAAACATTGGATCTTCTTCAACTATTTAATGTCCTTATTGTCTCCGTAACGTGTTATGCTCATGTTATGTTGCGTTGCTCATTATTTGTTATGACAATTACTGATTATAAAATATTTTAATGTCTAAGCGAAAGCAGCCTTGTTGCGCTTGAGACTATTGCAAATTCAATTTGCCCTCTTTTCCTCACATCTTGACCAGCTTTAGTGTTGTTATTCTTGAAGAAAGTGACAGTAAAATGCAAAAAATGTTTGTTGTTTTAATGTGTTGAAAATAGAAGAGCTGTGGAGTTGATGCCTTATCACTGATTGCATCTGTTTTAGTATCCTTTAAAAATTGTAGAGCAGCAGGTGTTCATTGCACCATCTGATATATCTGGTGTTCATATATGCTGGGTACTTGACACAGTTCAAAGTTTGCACTAAAAAGGTAAGAAAAATATAAATACCCATGTTGTTAAGCTTTCATTGTTGAAATACCATCAAGGTTTTGAAGAGAAAACATGTCATCAGAAGCATTTTATATGTTCACACCATCTCAATGCCAAATGCTGGAACCACAGAATTACTCCCCTTTCCCTTAGATCTTGACTACACGATAAATTGTCATAGTGGGCACTTAGCCCACAACATGCTTATTGATTATTTCCCAGTGAAGCACATCATGACCTAAAGCCATGGATGACCAGAGCATCTTTAAACAGCCTATTCTGCAGTTAATACATTTTTTTACATCAGCACACAATAGACCTAGAGTTGCAATTTAGCTACCCTAGCAATTCGGTGTCATTCCATATATGGAAAATCAATTTGTATATGAATTCTGAAAAATCCATGAAAGCTGGGCACAATAATTGCCAGCTTTTGTCTTGCAGTAAAGCAGAGAGAAACTCTTTAGGGAACTTTGGGATGTTAACTTTTGCAGAACATTTACATGCACAAAAACCTTTATAACACACTCGGAAGGAAAGCCAAAATGGGGTGATTTAAAAAGGCTTGACTAGTTGTATTGTGTGTCTCACCTTGGTTCAGGTACGTGAGCGTCTCGTCATGCAGCTTGATGGCAGGCGAGGTGGCGGCGCACAGCACATACTGGAATGGGGTGTTTTTGGTTTCGCTTTCGGGAGGAAGGCTGGAGTCCTCCTGCTTGAAGATGGGCAGAGCCAGCACATCGCTGAGAAAGAGAGAAAAAACAAGAGAAACAAACAGGAAGTCAGCACAGATAATATGCGCGAGAAAACCATCAAGAAAGAAAGCAGCTTTAAAGTTTCCATGAGCTGTTTTATTTGGCCTTCAGAAGTTGTTAATTGGCTTCAAACATTCATTTAAAGTTCTACGCTGTTTTAAACTTCAATGGTATCTTGATGAAAACACACACAATAACTGTGACCAACAAAGCAAAGCATGCCTTTATTCCTCAGGTTTCCCCACTTTTGAAATGATCTCTAAAACACATAAGCTAAGTTTCTAAACGGTTGCATGCTCCACTTTTGGCAAGACAATACTTCCTCATAGTGTGGAATTATTAACTGGTTTGGCTTACTTTAGAAGGGGTGACGAAGGCTCTCCATCGATCAAATGGTTCTTATTATATATGCATGAGACCGCGGGAGCATGATAAATGAACAAAAACACCCAGAGATAGCCTGAGCCGCTGACACACACTATCTCTCACACTTGGCAGACACTCCAGACAACCAACCCGTCCTCGGCTCACCCTGACAAATGCTGCAACCGTGTCAACCGGTGCACAGCGAACTGTCTGCGGCCGTGCACTGGTCCTATCCAAGCTAAGAGATTCAGACCATGGCATCTCATTACCTTGAAAACCTTTTTGGCAAGTCACTGTGCCGCCCTAGACCGAGGCACAACAACATGACATTCCTGCAGCACCTTCCTCCCAAAAACAACACCTTAAAAAAAAACAGCCACCTGCTAGATTATGAAGTCACAAATCACTTCTCTCTAGGGCTGCACGATTTTAAAAAGAATTAACAATTTTTTTGCACCAATATTGCATGTTAAGATTAAGGAGGAGATTATCTTTACTGCATGATCAATCTCATCATCATTGTAAAAAAAAGATCATGGTGTAAATTAGGGATGCACCGAATATTCGGCCACCGAAAATTATCGGCCGAAAATGGTTAAAAAGGCCCTTTCGGCCGTAAGGGTTTTAGCACCGAAAAAATATCACCGAATGTCAGAACAGGCTTACGTTGGTAACCTAACGTGTTGTTGTGATGACGTAATAAAGACGCGGCGAGCATGCTCGCGGCTGGCTCACAGGGGGGGGGAACATTGACCTTTGTCATCGAGATTGCCCTGAGCCTTTAACAAATCGTATTAAATAATCTGATGACAGACTGTAAACAGAATAGCTGAAATGTTAACAAACTAAATAACTCAGTTTCCTCTAATCATTAACCCATGTTTGTATAATGTAGTTAACTCCGTGTGTTGCTGCTAGCATACATAACACCTGACGTGGAAACGTTACTCGTGATGGAGCTACAGAGCTGCTAGAAAGACGGTCGAACCCGGTACATTCCTCCGTCTGCATGCGGTGCACTTTTGCTAAATGTTTAGACAAATTGCTCGTGCTTACATGCTAAACTCTTATTGCACTTATGGTAACAAGTATTCTCCACATCGAGACGGGTAAAGTTCAGTAGCGTGGCGTGGGGAAAAATGTAGGGGAAGCCCATTTTTTGGGTCGGGGGGTGGTCAATAACGTAACCAGATGAATGATTACAGCGCCCGGTATCATTTTACACACATTTGTATCACACAGATGCAGGACTTGCACACGCCTGTTATCTAACCGACAGGTCCGCACGCACTCTCCAGCTGAAACTCTCTTCTTATTAATTTAAGCATTTTACTTATTAATGTAGGCAGACAATCACACAATCTATGTGATTTTTGGATTTACCGTGCCTCTCAATTGCCCGTGACAGGTTGGCAAGGTCGATGAATCCTGAAGTTGCCCAAGGATTGTTCAGGGAGCACGAATCCTTGTCAAAAAGAAGACATGGCCAGCCAAATAGACGCTGAAGTTTAGCGCTTCCAGTTAGCCACTCTGTGCGGACATAATTGTCCTCATTGAACGTCCGATTCTCTCCCCTTTTTCCTCTGTGTACACACAGCTCGAGTGCGGGCATTGGCCTGTCATCTGATTTAATTTTCAGTTGCTGCTGTAGCGGAAGTTTAGTAAAGTTATGTTTGATTAAGTACGCCAAATCTCCACCCTCCATAATGCTTCATTTGCTTGATAATTTCTAACGGCGGTGATGACAGTTACAGTATTAAAACTGATGTTGATGTGATTTGATGGCAGTGTCCAATCAAATCGCCAGCCGCCAGCCGCCCCTGAAGGGAAGCTAGAGGCGGCTGGCTTCCCTTGGCATGGCCCTGACCAATCACAGGTTGGCAGGGGCATCACGTGGGCCTCATCTGATTGGTCAATCCCTCCATTTTTTTTCACCAAAGGAAGCCAGATTCGGCTGGCCTCCTCTCGCAACAGAGAGTGCAATCTACTGTTTCACCATAACATCTAGAGGGGCGCTGTTTCACTCTTTGTAAAGTACTCAATGAGAATGGGGGAGAGCCGGCCGGCAGCAACACACAGCAAAGGAGAATTATCGAAACAAAACAAAGTGTTTTTATTTATTTATTTAAATTATAACTACAATCCGAAAAAACAGGGGAAGCCTGGCTTCCCTTGGCCTCCGGGAGAAAACGCCACTGGTAAAGTTTAACCACACCTCGGAGCGCGTTCTCTCCGCCATCTCCGCAGTGTGCTCCGCTGCATGTAGCAGCTGCGTGTGTGTAAACTGCCCCGCCCCCTCGCACACAGACGGGGGAGAGAGATCTCGTCTGATCGAAAATACATCATAGACGCATTTGTTGTCTTTGCATATTAGAAACGAGTTGGCGACACTAAGACTGCGATATAATGTTTTTTAGCAATAATACATGACATATATAAATGTACTGTATGCATTCAAAAGTGCTGAATAAATGTTTTATGGACCCATAATAGTGATTATTATTTAAGTTAAGTTATGCCATAATCATGTCTATTTCCATAATCAGGTAGCTGAACAATATTGGTAAAAAATGTATACATTATATATATATATATATTTCTATTTATCATTTTCGGCCTTTCGGCATTCGGCCAACTGTTTCCTATTTTCGTTATCGGTTTCGGCCAAGAATTTCCCATTCGGTGCACCCCTAGTGTAAATCCGTTGAACATTATTTGTAGTCAGGGATATCGCTGCAGCTCCATGATACTTAAATGTGGGGTAGGTAAGTTTGAGAAACCGGCTCGAGATACACTTTTTGTAATATTCCATGGAATGCTCTTAACATCCCGATAGCAATGAATATCTTAAGTGCTTTGACAAAAAATCCATAAAAAATTGTCATCTGTGGAAGCTGTAGTACTGTAAAAAGCACGACCAATCATTTTAGCCGGCCCAGCTAAAATAACTGGATGGCCGACCTGCCTGTCAGCCTTCCATCTGTGCACAAACTTATCTCGTGCCCTCATTTAGTGTTGCACGGCAAGGGCCCCGGAAGCGGGGGGGCCATTGGCCCCCCCACTTCACGGCCCTGCCCCACATTTTCGCAGCAGCGGATGCCATGGTACACTGTACACATCCCGTTTCAATAATTCCCCTCTACTCTAAAGTCGCATCTAAAAAGAACGCCATCTGATCTGTGTATATTTTGTTATTTTTGATTGTTATATTCAATCTCATTAGCTACAGGCATTTTTGAAGCTTGTAAAGGGAAGAACACAGCTCGCCTCTCAGCTCTTCCACAGCGCCGCTTCCCCTCCCTCCGCCGACATTATGAATGTAAGGCATATAGTAATCATAGATAACACCGCAGGGTTCGTTTGTTTTCATCTGATTTCAAATAAACAAAGTCTTGGCTTTCAGAATATTAAACTTGTTTCGGCAAATTCAGATGATAAATACAGCTTTGAAGCTTTTAACGGCATAATTACAAGCGGAGAACGGAGTAACTTGACATCACAGCAGGCATAACAACAGCCGGTGTTTCTCCTGAAAGTTTTCCCCGGGAAACAAACGCAAAAATACACCAACACACACACGTATACACACACACACACACACTCGCGAGCTCCCCCCAGACCAGTAATCCAAACGAAAATATCTTCCCTCCGTACTACTTTGATCATTTGCTCCGCTAATAATCAATCAGATCGATCCAGAGAAGAGGAAACTTTAAGGCCTTTTTCTCAAAATGATGACTCGGTGACAGTCATTATATAATGTGACATATTTTGCTTAATATAGTACAAAAACAATCCTGATATCATTAGAAAGCTAGGAATCTCCTCTTTCCAACAGTGTATACAACTCAAAATGTGTCTTCGGATCAATGCGACTGATTTTGATGGAGCAGGTCACTTTGCATTAGGTAAAATACAGCAGGCAGACATAACAGGAAGAATATGTACATTTTAATCCAATCAAATAGGACATTGTCACACCATTCAAATGTATCCATGTACATTACAACCAATAACAAAGCTTAGATGTGTTTATTTGTTACGTTGTTTACGTTATGTGTTACGTTGTTCAGTGTGTGTCAGCCGTTAACCTATAAACTTGCAAACATGTCAGAAGAACCGGCGCATAAGAAAACTAAATACAGTCAAACTAAGCTAAAATTCAACAACTTGAATGTCACATCCACACTCTGGAGCCTGGTCCTTCAACCATAGAACCAGCGCAGCCAGATGAACCCCAGCAGCAGCTCTGCGGCCGCAGAGGCTGTCAAAACCGCCGCCGCCGGCATCGTTGAACCGAAACAGGCTGGTTCCGACTGCATGGAGGTTTGTTGTCGGGACATTGTGACGGGCAAATAAAAGCTTATTTGGGCAAAGAGAAGGTACTTCAATGCAGAATGGTACAAAAACAGAGAGTGGTTAATTATTTGCAAAACCACTAAACGAGCCTTCTGTGAAATATGCAGATGTGCTGCTGTCAACCGGCTTGTAACTTTCTCCAAATGTGGAGATGACAGCTTTGTAAATACCGAGTTAATAACTGGATCTTTTCACAGAGCTTACTTCAGTCAAACACCAGTCAACATTCAGCTTGTCAAACAAGAGCGTAGCAGGAAAAAAGAAGAGATGGAATGAGCAACTGCGCTGTCATATGTGGGCTGGTCTGTATAGTTTAATGTACAGGAAAGGAGTGAGCAGAGGGTTGAGTTGTCCATTCTTGTTCTGTTTTCTCTGACTATCTTCCTCCTGAAGACCCTCTCAGACTTTCATTTGCTCGCGCTACTAAAGAGACACGTTACCATGGAACCCACCATGGTGTAGCTGTATTGAAGTCCGAGTGGAAACAGTAACATTTGGTGCGTTATGTTAGAATGAAACAAATCAGATTTAGTCAGAAATCGGGAGAAATGCGGGATAAATATGACCCCGGGAGGAAAACGGGAGTCTCCCGCGAAAATCGGGAGGGTTGGCAAGTAGGCTATGTCACATACACACGCACTTTTTGCCCCCCCCACTTCTGAAATGAATCCGGCGCCGCTGTTGCACGGTGTACCGATACTTGAAAGGTACCGCGATACCCTGCCGTTAAAAACGGTACGATTCCTCCGTTTCATTAGTATCGGGACTTTAAGAATGACGGGGAAAAGTACTCCTTTGAGAAACCGCCATTTTAATAAGAGCCGTGTGTGTTCAGCGCTCTGCTTCCACTCCCTGCACTGCAGCCGTGCCTGCCCTGCAGTCCCGCCCCTCTCAAGCACGTTCTAAGTCCCTCCCCTCTCTCGTGCACGCGGCCACGCGCTAGCTGCCAGAGCATGTGAGAAAACGAGAAGCATGTCTGCAAGTGGGAGTGCAACTGCCGCTGCGCCTCGGCTTGTTGACAAAAAAGACACCATAAGCGAAATTTGGAAGTATTTTAGCTATATCTCTGACAGTGAGTGCAAGCCTACGGACACCACGAGGCCTGTCTGTGAGAAATGTTTTAGATCCCTGCAAACCAAGGGAGCCAACACATCAAACTTGGCTAAGCACCCGCCGACCGGAATCCAGAGCTGTTTAAAGAATTTAAAGACAGACAGGTTAGCGAATGTGATAGATAACATGCACGATAACATGCACATGCCCTCAAATCTAAGTCAACCCAGTGTAATTTATTTTGTGACAAACGAGGCAATTAATGGCAATGATAACTGTCTAATATGGCTATCTTTTTAGCTAACTTACCAATGTGGCTAACATCTGCAATATACATTTGGTCAATAATTATTTATATTACTGTACATTTTTTAAATTATATTTTATAAAACAAAAAAGTTGTTTGAGATGATGCTTAATTGTATTTAATACGAATTATTGTCATTTATTTTGTTTATTGTTCTCATTGTTTAAAAGTTTGTGTTATGGTGTGAAATAAAGCACAATAATTACATTTAAGACTGTTTCCCTTTTTTAAAGAAAAGTATCGAAAAAGAATCGGAATCGCAATTCTTGACTTGGTATCAGTATCGAAACCAAAATGTTGGTATAGTGACAACACTACCCTCATTGGTCATGTGTGCGTTCGTGTGTGTTGGAGGAGGGGCTCTGTAAGGAAGTGGCAGATTTTTTCCAGCTGTGTATTTTCAAATTCTAGCACATTCGAGCTGGTTTCTCCAAAATTACCTACCCCACCTTTAATTCAAATGATATTATGTTGTAATACATATATAGCCTTTAACAATTAACGTGCATCCTGAAATTTGCACATTACACTACTCCATTTTGCAATTTGGATCGAAGTTCTTATATCTCTTAATCTCTTGCAGCTATCTGTGTTTTCTCTGCAGTGAGTGCCCTGTCAGAGCCACCCTGGGTGCCACGGCCCTGCTGCCCAGGAAAACTACATCTGCTTCCTGAAATGTGAGGAGCTGGTCACATCGAGACATTCTGTTCCTACCAGCTGCTGACTCCAAACATGCAACCCAGCCCAATAACACAGATAGCACTACTGCTGGACCTGCTGACACCACACACACACTATGTTTTCACTAACTCGCTTACATGCAACACATCACCCAAATTGGTAAACCTGCTTACACTCATAAGAGACTGACCCTCACTTAAGTCACTCAGATAAATGCAGGCTAAAAACGCAGATGGCCGAGGAAGTAGCTGATAAGAAACATGAGGGTCCTGGGAGTTTCTTGCTGTAGTCACATGTGTCATCACCTCCCGTAAACTATATAAGTCAGTACAGATGTAGAGATACTAATCAAATGTGTGACACAAGTCATAAAGAGGAACTTAAGAGGGCTGCATGTATTTAATTTGGGCATAGTGACAAATACTGTGTGGCTAATAGAGCTGGGAATAAAGTTAAAAATGTTCATTAGACTTTGTACCAATACAATATTTTCACCGTCAATGGTAATACCATAACAACCTTTTTCCAGTAAGATAGTTACGGTAATATAAACAAGGATTTTAAATAGAAATTTGAGCATCTAAAAATCAACTGACAGTTCGTTTCTGAGGAAGATTGTGGAAACAAGTTAAAAGCTTTAAAGCAGCAAAACAACGTAACCATGAATCTTTTGATGAGTTTGTTTTGTTCAATGTTAAAGAATCTAGTCAAGCATTCAAAACCAACTCTTGCGCTAAAGTTGGTATTTAATGCCTGGGCAGATTGTCTTTGATCAGACATTTCCACATATAAAATCAGGAAGCTGTTGTTATTATAGACGTATCCTAAAGACAACAAATCGTATTTAACCTATTGCATTATGCAGTTTGGTATATTGTGTTAGCAGTTAGAAAAGCCAACAGAGCTTAAGCAGCCCAACTGAAATGTGATAACCATAGATCACCTAGTGCGGCTTAAACTATTACTGTAGATGGAAATAAATCAAGAAAAATACTTCCTTTCATTTCCAAAATTGGAGTCAGGTGCTTCTTAAGATATATGAGAAAGGAATAAGTGCTGAAGCTCCTGCCACTTATACCTCCAAGTCAAATAACTCCTGTAGAGCTTTCCTTAATAACAACAATATTTAAATGACTCCCATCTGCTTGTGCATAATCCACAACCCTTTGTTTCCACGTCACTAGAAACGAAGCTATAGACATTTTCTGATAACTATACCACTAGTCTGAGGGGCCACAACAAGCCCTTCCTGCAGACTTCCTCTGTTATCTTACACGCAGTTTATGTCTCTTTTGACAATAGCATTAACTTATATAATGTCCCTCAAAGTATACCACATGTCCTTCCTTTGCTTTGCTTAGAGAAATTAATATTTGGCCCTGATCCTGGCACCCTGCAATGACTGCCCTACTCTAAATCCCAAAACAAAGAGAAGCCACAGTACAAAGGGGAGAACACACACTGGTATGGGGGGTGTAAATGTTAACACTTCCGAAAGGCAGGTTGTATTTTGTCGACCCAATACTGTGTTAGGTAGCCGGGGAAAGGCACGTTGTCTCCGGTGTCTAACCTCATGCTGTAGGCTCCAGCCCCCAGCTCCTGCCCGATGCCGGACAGGCTGGCATCGAAGTCGTGCACCAGCCCCGACTCGATGGATGCGTCGTCCATCTTCAGCACCCAGGCCATCGGCCCCAGCTCCTTGTCCTCGGCTTCTACTCGGAGGGACGCCAGCTTGCTTCAGGTACGAGAGGTCGGCTAGCGAAGAAGCTGGCTGTGCAGCTACAGGGACACCGTGAGAGGAAAGTTATGCTGCTAGCCCGTTAGCCGCTCCTTGGCAGGCTGGGCAGGCGGTAGCTTTCCACAGAGACTGGGTGTATCGCCATATCTCCACTCGGGTTATTTTTTCTCTCTCTTTTGTCACAAAACACGGTGCTCCACGACCGTCTGAAAGTAACAATAAGTTAGAGTTCACTCAGCTAGCGAATGTTAGTCGTGACTGAAGATGCGAGCTGGTTGTCAGCATGCTAACGTTAGCTAACAGCTAGCGAGCTCTACAATGGTAACTAAAGCAAGCTAGCATGAATCCAGCAGCCCCGTTGTTACGCTAAAGTCTTAAAGCAGGCTAATTATGGTTTGCCCAACACAATACAACAGGCAGAGGATACTTTTGTGTTTAGTCCACACGCCGCATCCCAAGCAGCGTCCGCACAGCTGTTGCTACCAGGCTAACTAGCATCAACTTCACTTGCTTTGAATCGACCGTTGATGTCCGGTGATCCTAAGAAGAGCAGCTCTCCTCTGGCGCTCCCTGTACCATCCCAACCCGCTCTCCTCTTCTCATCGCGGTGCAGGAACAACCGCTAAGGCTCCCGCTTCTTGAGACGCAGTCCTTTAACCATCCAAAGTGCAGCGTTTGACACAAAACCAGGCATCAACATGTGCATACGGACCGTCGCTCTGTGAAGCCTGCAGCGCTGCCACCGACAGCTTCAGGAAGGATGCCAACAGCCAATCAGAGGCCGCAGTCTGTGCCCAGCGCATGGGGGTTAGCCAATCAGCGGCCTCCAAACTTCCGTCATTGTGTCCAACTGTACTTGCGCTCTGCCGCCTCCCACAAATTAAATGAAAGCGTCTATAAAGTCATAACTGTCAACAAAGATACACACTTTAATAGTGTGAACATTTGCCACCCTGCATGACACAGAGAAATATATAGAATGCACACACACAGTAACATAACTAATTTGTTCGCAAGTGAAAAGAAGCAAAAACCACATAGTTATTCTTTAACTTTTCTATAAAGTTAACTCTTCCGCCAGTGTGAAGTAAATACAACATCCGGTGAGTCATTATAATGACACACCGTGCCAACAATAATAACTTGATATCCCTATTTCACTCATAATTTCGTGAAATATTCTTGTTATTTTGAATTACTAAGTAGTTTTATTTGGTTATACTTTTTTAAATATTATTGCAATACTTTAATTTAGTATTTAAGTATATTTTGAGATAAAATGTCTTTCTCTTGAGATATCATCATTGTATTGACACAATATAAGTCATTATTTTTGAGATACTAAATAATTATTTTGAAATACTTGTTTTGATATAAGGGTTTGTCATTATAATAAAGGACATTTGCATTTTTTATTATGTAAAGGCTAAGTTTTCACCTTGTTTTTGATTTGACTGGTGGAAATTACTTCAGTAACAGAGATCTCAGACATGTCTGGGACCATAAACAAAATAAACACTGTTGTCCGTACCTTGTATAGCTGCTGCCATCAAGTCTCTGCACTGGGGCTCGGAAGTTTTCAGTGTAGTGCTGCCAGAACAACATCGTGTCTGTCCCACAAACAGCTGTCGTTTCACTCTAAATAAACACTCAGCCCGGTGCCGAGGAGGTCCAGACAGCAGCTCATGTCTGTCTCATGTCCTCGTTGAATAATCTGCTCCTCAGAAGTCTGTTGCATGCATCAGGTATTGTCTAGTCAATAATTATCCTCCGGTCGGACCCTGACCGTCGGTTAAGTCTCTGGGTGGCAACGTTTTTTTTCCGGGCAGGGTACAAGCGCTATTTTGGCCCATGTGAGGGAAGACCCGCCTTAAGATTTCAGAGTGACTAATTTCAGTAACGCATTATAACATAGATCATATTATTGGATTGTTATTACTGTTAATTTAATAACTAACATGTTTTGTTGTTGAAGCTGGTCTAAGTGGAGGTAATATACCTTAAATATTGGGTAGTGCATTTTTATTTTGCAATGCAGCCTCTTTCTGAAGCTTGCTTGCCCTTCGCACACATCATCAAATATGTATTTATTTATCTATTTATTCTTGATAAAGCCAAAACCTTACATTGTTCTCTAGTTACTAAGGCTACTAGCTGCATTCTGGTTTTTACGTTAATATGTTTGAATGTCTCATGTTTGCATGTTGTATGTGTTTACACTTTGTAATAGCAAATAATGCACAAGCAAGCCAGACACATTTCTGCCTTTTGCATTCAACCGGGTAAATATTTTCCATTATATTGTTTTATTTCTCCCTGTAATATACTGAAGTAAAGATATAAAGTCAAATAAAAAGCACATTTTCAAAGTAGAAATATCGTTAAACTGTATTTAGTGAACATTTTTAGCACATTAACTGCAGGCTGTTTCTGTATCAGAGATCCTCATTAGCTGCTCCTAAATGTACAGCCCAGAGCACACATGAAATTCAGCACTTCTCAAATAGCTATGTTGCATAAGTCATGTGTGTTGAGTTTTAAACCATGTCTGGGTTTGTCTACTTTATTACCCATTTGCACATCCTGCAGAATTTGAAAAGATGATGGGCATTTTCACCTATTTTTGGAATTGTATAGACCAAATGATTCAGAATTAATTAAAATGAACCACTTGTGATCCCTCATCACATATTACAGTTTCATTTGAAGGATTTTTAGATGCCCTAAGAGGAATAGTATTTAGAAGACCTCTAAAATAATGCACAATTCCATCCAAGATATTTATTTTCTTTCAAAGATATCCCTTTTATCATCAGCTTTGATGTTACAGAACACTTATTCCAAAAAGGGCAGAGGCCTTGTTGCAGTTTTGAGCGTTTCTGGAGTAACTAATGATATATGTTTTACATTTTAGGATCTCTTAATTTAAAAGGTACAATTTGGGGATGGTTTACCACTGATGCTGGGTCAGTAAGACAAAGAAGAATAGTTTATATAATAATAGTTTTCAGTCTTTAGTGTTGCGAACAGTCAGTGGTTGGTAAATCCCTTCCGCTGTAAACATTTCTATCCACCTGTTATCCCGGGACTTTTTTCCACTGCAAAAAAACACAAAAAAAGAGACAAGCTTATCATGATCTGTACAAGTTCTTTATTGTAATGTAAGCACAGCTTTGTAAATGTACAGAGGAAACACAACAGTGAAAACTAGAATGTTACAAGAAGAGGAGGGAAAGAAAGACACGGTGAAGAGGAGGAGAGAAAAGGGTGACATGACAATTCTTTTTTCAGAGCTGTAAATAATACATTTCTACAGATTTCTCAGCAGAGAAAAAATAAGTGTGAGTTCGAAAGAGAGATAGAGACTACGGGTAGAGCAACAAAGAGATAAAAAAAAAACTGGTGGGCACAGGTGTGCACCCCCGGGTACATTTCTAAATGACAGTTAATGGATATTTAATTTGAATATCATATATAGATACATATCCACTATGTGATAATAAGCCATGTCCTGTCATACTTCATGTAGTAAGCACCCGTTTCCCCCCCCCCCCATGTCGCCCAGAAGTGGACCGATCCAAGATGAGCTGGGAGAAATGGAGACCATGAATTTTTCTGAAAGGGGTGGACATTGTTCACATTCATTTAAAACATCAGCCACGCTTTTCTGACTGTCGACAGACCTTCAAAAAAACCTTTTTAAATGTAGTCTCATGCATAGCCAAGCACATTACACCTTCTACAATTTGGAATCTGTTCTGTAGTCGCTGTGAGCAGGCCATCCCGCTGTGACTCGTGTTAGTGCTGTGTGCGGTTGTTTGGTCGTACCTTTTAGGCTAAGCAGCACCTTTTTGAAAAAAGAGAAAGTGTGTGTTTATGTGAAAACTCCGGACATTAAAAACCGCTGCAGTAAAACCTCATTGCGTAAAATAAATCAAAAGATATGACAATGTCAATTTACATTCCTGTCTACCTGGCCCCGCTGTTCAAGAAAGACACAAGAAGGCGCCTTCGTCTCAGGCCTGCTCTATGAACCACACCCCCCCCCCCTTTAAAAATGAGACGCACCACTTCCTGTTGACATTGACGTGTTATTCAGAGGGGATGCTGTGGTGCTCAGGATAGAGGACGGACATTTAGTATCTTCATCCTTTGAGAGATTAGTGACAAACTTGGGTGTGACTGAATGTGTATTATCTGTTTGTGTGAGGGTTCAGTTCAGTCTGAGATCAGGGAGCGTCCTCAGCGATGGTTGGGAGAACAACAACACTCCTCTTCTGCACCACAACTCCCATCTGGTAGAGGGAGAGGAAATGTACGTGGACTGTGTGTACGTGTGTGTGTGTGTCACTTTGCAAGCGTACGTGTGGATGTATGCGGTTGGCTCCTGTGAAATCTGTTAGGATGTGTGTTCGTTCTCGGCCTGTGTGGGTGTGAGCTCGTGAACTGATGTTTGTGTTTGGTGGGCAGAGCTGCAGTTCTGTGGTTGCCCTGTGGGAGGGCGGTGGGTCTCCTATAGGCAGTCAGACGGGGGCTCACCACCACTGGAGCCGGACTGGGCGCGCTTGATGTACAGATTCAACAGCTTCAGCTGCAGACAGAAGAACAGAGGGGGACAAATATGTAAATGTGGTCAACCTCTAGGGTCAAACAACGTGCATTACTGATGGGAAAAACAAGCCATTTTTATTCCATTTATAAACACTAGAGACATGTTTGCAATGGGATAACAATAGCAATGAATTGGACCACACCCATGTTCGAACACAAGCCTTCATTTTTACATTAACTACAAATGTGTAAAGACGTCAAATTGAGCCAGGGGCGAATCATTTGGCCAGCCCCATCTGTACTCACACAGCCTTTTTGTCTAGGATGTCAACTACACATCTGTCAAGTGTCCTGTTTATGTTCTGCACTGTTGAGACGCTATGCCTTTGCACCCACATACCAAAAGAAAAATAAACTCTGGGGTGTTTCGTTTGTCTTGATTTGAATTGTAATGCTCTACTGCAGTTTCATTTCTTTCAGTAAGTAAGAAACATAAAAAAGAAAGAGATTGGGAAGACTGAAAGAAAATATGCTACATCATTCTGTGTTATTTCTATGTAAATATTTCAACAATAAAATAATAATAAAAGAAAATATATTAAATACGACAAAAAGACCACAGTTGTACCCCTCTGGATCATGGAAAAGGATCATTCTCAATAAGCCAGATTTCAACCAAAGACAGAAAGAGCTTGGTAGCACAGATGACAACATACATTTTGTCAGTTTACAAGTTGTGCTTATTAGTCCATGTCTAATATGCTTCGAGGTCAGGTTACCTTGCTGCTGGAGAGCTGGTTGAGGTGCGGTTTGAGGTCCTCTCCGATCACTGCGTAAATGGCAACCAAGCAGAACACACAGGCTTTCCTTACACTGCTCTCAGAGTTGTCGTAACCCTGTAAAACCAGATAAAAATAGATAAAAAACCTGCAGAAAATGTGGTTCAAAATAAAGGATGCAGAGAAAGAATTCATGAATGAATGTGTGTGAGAAAAAGAGGTACATTAGTCAATCAAACGATTGAAATAAATAAGAGAATAGCCCCAAGCTTAACAAGTATCTACTAGAGTTGTTTAAATAGTAACACTCTACAGTAAAAGATGGAAATAACAACACTTCCTCTTACTTTTAATAATAATAAACCCAACAAACTTCGAATAGTGCTTGATTGTGATTTTCAGCATTATATCTATTAGCGTGTTTAAAACAAAT